GGGGACAGGGACAGGGACAGGGACACCCCCAGCCCCAGGTGTGGGAAGGGGCCACGGGGAGGGGGGTGGCACCCAGAGGTGCCAGGGGGGGCTGGGGACACCCTGCGGTCACCTCTGATCACTGGTGTCGCCTCTGGGTGCTGGTGTCACCTTGGGGACCCCGGTGTCACCTTTAGGTGCTGGTGCCACCTTTGGAACCCCGGTGCCACCCTGGGGACCCCGGTGTCACCTCTGGGTGCTGGGCTGTCCCCACAGCCTCCCCAGGACAAGGGCACAGCACAGCACGGGTGGCACAGGTGACACGCGTGTCACATCGCAGAACACACAGGACAGCACAAGTGACACGTGTGGCACATGGCCCGTGGCACACGCATGGCACGCAGGGCGCGTGTGACACACGTGGCACTGGTGACACAACACGGGTGGTGCCGGTGGCGCTTTTCTGGGCATCAGGGACCCCCCCATGTGTCCCCACACGGTGTCCTGGCACCTGTCACCTGTGCCACCTGTGCCACCTGTGCCACTTCATGTCACTCATGCCACTCTATGCCACTCCGTGTCACCTGTGCCACCTGCATCACCTAGTGACACTCCATGTCACTCTGTGTCACCTGTGCCACCTGTGCCCCTCCATGTCATCTTTGCCACTGCATGTCACTGCATGTCACCCGTGTCACCTGTGTCACCTGTGCCAGCAGTGCCACTCCATGTCACTTGTGTCACCTGTGTCACTCCATGTCACTTGTGTCACCAAGGCCACCTGTGCCACTCGGTGCCACTCCATGTCACTCCCTGTCACCTGTGCCACCTGTGCCACTCCATGACACCTGTACCACCTGTGTCACTGCATGTCACCCGTGTCACCGTATCACCAGTGCCAGCAGTGCCACTCCATGTCACCTGTGCCACTTGTGTCACCTGTGCCACCTGTGCCAGCAGTGCCAGCAGTGCCACTCCATGTCACCTGTGTCACCTGTGTCACTCCATGTCACTTGTGTCACCAAGGCCCCCTGTGCCACTCGGTGCCACTCCATGTCACTCCGTGTCACCTGTGCCACTTGTGCCACCCGGTGCCACCTGTGCCACCCGGTGCCACCTGTGCCACTCCATGTCACTTGTGTCACCCGGGCCACCCGGTGCCACTCCATGTCACTGCATGCCACCTGTGCCACCTGTGCCACTCCTTGCCACGCTGCCAGGCTGGAGTTTGTCCCCAGGGCCACTCCCTCTCTCCACACGGCCCAGGTCGGTGTCACCTGTGTCACCCAGGGCCACTCCCTCGGCCCCGGCAGGGACACGCGGCTGCACCCCAGGGTGCAGGGGACACCTGTGGGCGCCGGTGACACCTGTGGGTGCCAGGCTCCCACCCGGGTGTCACAGGATGTCACGACATGTCACGACGTGTCACCTCACGGCCCGGCTGAGGGTGACACTGCACAGCCCGAGCACGGCCTCAACGCTCGCTGGTGTCCCCGGGCCACCGTGTCCCCAAGTCCTTGTGTCCCCATGTCCCCGTGTCTGTCTGTCTTGGTGTCCCCGGGCTTGTCCATCCTGGTGTCCCCATGTCCCCCTGTCCATCCATCCCACTGTCCCCATGTCCCTGTGTCTGTCTGTCCCCATGTCCCCCTGTCCATCCATCCCAGTGTCCCCATGTCCATCCCAGTGTCCCCATGTCCCCAAGTCCTTGTGTCCCCATGTCCCTGTGTCTGTCTGTCTTGATGTCCTCGTGCTTGTCCATCCTGGTGTCCCCATGTCCCCCTGTCCATCCATCCCAGTGTCCCCATGTCTATCCCAGCGTCCCCGTGTCCCCGTGTCTGTCTGTCCCCATGTCCCCCTGTCCATCCATCCCAGTGTCCCCATGTTCATCCCAGTGTCCCCGTGTCCTAGCGTCCCCATCCCCAGGTCCATCTTGGTGTCCCCATGTCCCTGTGTCCATCCACCCCAGTGTCCCCATGCCATCCCAGTGTCCCTGTGTCCCTGTGTCCATCTCACTGTCCCCATGTCCCCGTGTCCTGTCCATCTTGGTGTCCCCATGTCCCCATGTCCCCATGTCCATCTCAGTGTCCCCACGTCCATCCCAGTGTCCCCATGTCCCCATGTCCCCATGTCCATCTCAGTGTCCCCACGTCCATCCCCATGTCCCCATGTCCCCATGTCCATCTCAGTGTCCCCACGTCCATCCCCATGTCCCCATGTCCCCATGTCCCCATGTCCATCTCAGTGTCCCCATGTCCCATGTCCCCGTGTCCATCTCAGTGTCCCCATGTCCACCCCAGTGTCCCCATGTCCCCATGTCCCTGTGTCCATCCCAGTGTCCCCATGTCCCCATGTCCCCATGTCCATCTCAGTGTCCCCACGTCCATCCCCATGTCCCCATGTCCCC